CCCAAATACTTGGGTCCCTGTTATCCATGAGGGAGACCCCAGTGGAGTTCCTGGCTCCTGGCTTCAACCTGACCCAGTCCTGGTTGTTGCAGGCTTTTGGGGAGTGAACCAGTGAATGGAAGATCTCTCTCTTGAGCCATCTTCTGCCTTCCTAGGAGCATTCACAGGAAGCTGGATCCGAAGTGGAGCAGCTGGGACAAACCGGTGCTTCAGTATGGGATTCTTGCATTCCCAGAGGTGGCTTAACCTGCTGCACTATAATGCTGGGCCTCTCTTGTTATTGTTTTTAAATGTTTACTCATTTATTTTCATCTATTTGAAAGGCAGAGTGACAGAGATGGAGAGAGATAGATACAGATACAGATAGAAAGAGACAGAGATCTTTCATCTGCTGGTTCAGTCCCCAGATGCCTGTAACAGCCAGGATGTTGCTGGATGGAAGATGGAAAGCAGAGGAACCGGGACTCAAGCTGGCACTCTGATAGGCATTGCAGGCATCTCAAGTCAGGGCCTAAGCTGCTGCACCACAATGCCTGCCCCCTGGTGGGCTCCTAGTTGATTGATGTGGAATACTGACAACGTGGAGGAAGGTCTATAGTGACCAGCTACAGGGCTCTGCGGATCCTAGTCCACATTTCTTGCAGTGAGTTCTGTGAAACCCAGGAGGAGTACTAATCAAATTTGCACATTTCCTAAAATTCAAGGAGTTTGAACTGGCAAAATCAAGGGGGAGAGAAAGCCATTTCCAATAGGTGAGGATACTACATAAAAACTCAGAGGAAAATGACTAAGAATCAATATTGAGTCCTGTATCTGAGATGATAGAAAAATCTTTTTTTTTTTTTTTTTTTGACAGGCAGAGTGGACAGTGAGAGAGAGAGACAGAGAGAAAGGTCTTCCTTTGCCGTTGGTTCACCCTCCAATGGCCGCCGCGGCCGGCGTGCTGCGGCCGGCGCACCGCGCTGATCCGATGGCAGGAGCCAGGAACCAGGTGCTTTTCCTGGTCTCCCATGGGGTGCAGGGCCCAAGCACCTGGGCCATCCTCCACTGCACTCCCTGGCCACAGCAGAGAGCTGGCCTGGAAGGGGGGCAACCAGGACAGAATCCGGCGCCCTGACCAGGACTAGAACCTGGTGTGCCGGCGCCGCTAGGCGGAGGATTAGCCTAGTGAGCCGTGGCGCCGGCCAGAAAAATCATTTTTAAGGGCACAGGAAGAGAGGTGGGGGGAAGAGAGCGCGCGCATTAGTTTGAGGTCGGGGGAGTCTGTCAGTGAGTCCAGGATGTGACTGCGTCTGGGGCTTTCCCTTTCCGGGGAGACATTGACGAAGTGAAGACTATGCAGAGGCCAGGCCTGGGCTGCTGGGTGGCCTGGCAGCCATGCCTGCCTCACAGCAGGGGTGAAGAGAACAGAGGGAGACAGGACATTAATCTTTAACACTACCAAGGGCCCCTGTAAGGGAAGAAGGCTTAGCTGGATTCTGCGTGGCCCCAGAGCAGAGGAGCATGGGGTGGAAGTTGTAAGGAAGCAGCTTCCGGCTCAGTGGAAGGAAGAGCCATAGCTGTCTTTGAAGATGGGATGAATCGTCTAGGGAAGTATTGGGGTTTCACAGTTGCTGGAAATTGGAAGCATAAAATGCATGGACCAGCAGCCTACGTGCCGTGTGCATTGAGAGCTGGTGGTGCTGGAGGGTTGTGGGTTTACTGCTCTTTCTCGGGGACGTTGATCCAGAGTGGGGCTGCACGTGTCGTTCCGCCTGGCTCTGCTGGTGCAGGGTCTTCATGCCAGAACTAACCTCTCACTCCAGGGGACCCTGCCTGGGCTGGGTTCAGTGATTCACTCAGGAGTATCTCTTTAGCTGATTATACGAGAGACTTCCTCCCAGCTGTACCTGGCTGGAGGGTCAAAGGTGATTTCAGGCCGTTCTCCTGTGCACTTGTTGAGTGGGGATTGGGTTGTCCCCAGAGGAGGAAACATAGGGCATCTCTGTCCTCTTACCTTGAGGTTGCCTCCATGTTATTAATGTAACCCCACGGTCCCCTCCTGGCTCTGACTCTGAAGCAGGAAATTGGCCTCGGCTTCCAGAGCGGTGTACTTGGCTGGGCTCAGGGCCGCCGGTCAGCTGGATCCAGCGGGGCTGGGGTGGGACAAAGAGCCCAGTCAGCACTGTTGCCTGCCTACCCACTTCCTGCTGCTGAGGCCGAGAGGCCCAGGAGGAAGCTGGGCTCCGGGGAAGCGGAGGGCCAGCTCGCTGTAGGCAGTTCCCCTCCTCCTGGCTTCTTTCTGCTGGATTCCATTCCTCAGACGGAGCCCCTGTACTTAGTGCAGGCAGCAGACCAGGGCAAGAAGGTGGGAAGAAGACAGAAATCGGGCTCAGGAGTGGAACAGGGCCACGGCTGGTGGGCGAGAGGAGGAATGCCCCTGGTAGGACGTGGCGTAGAGAAGTGGCAGGGGGCACAGGCCACGAGTTTTCATTTCCGAAGCTGCCATAGTGAAGTGTGGTGGACTGGTTGCTTCACCGTCTTTGCCCTGTCCACACCCCTGGCCAGGGCCGAGGACAGATTCTGGGGCACACAGCCGCAGACTCTGACCCCGAGCTGCTCCCTGAAGGCTGTGGCGATTTGCTCTGGTGACCGACAGGCTGGCCAGCAGTTTCTATCAGGGGATCCCACTGCCCCAGCACAGGCAGGGTGGGTTGTGTGGGCTCTTGACAGCTGGCACGTGGGGCAGAGCCTGAGGGCAAGGGGTAGAGGTCACAGGATGGGCAGAAGGGGCCAGAGGGCTGGAGGAGAAAGTCCACTGGGGCGTCAAGGATGGGTACCCCAAGGACCCACAGACTTGAAAGATTTGTGGAGGGCAAGACATGGGCCCTGCGGTGCTTTGTGGGGTGCCTGTTAAAGACGGGGTGTGTTTTAATGATTAACTTAGCACTGGGATGGCCTGGAGCTGTGGGTGTGTTTTTGCCCTGCCCTGGGATAAAGTCTGGTTGTTTATTGTCTTGTTTATAAGGCCAGCATCTGAGCAGGACAGGAAGGTTCCTTCTGAGGCAGAGCAGAGGAGAATCTTGGCAAGGAGGAGAGCTAGGGGAGGAAGGGCAGATGAGGGAGGCCGGTCTTTCCTGCCTCTCAGGAGGAGGTTATAGGGGATGAGGCCAGGACACCGCAGAACAGGAGGAGCGGGGCCACCAAGGGCCACACAGGGTGGCTGAGCCTGGCTCCCGACCGTGATGGCCTGGAGCAGGCACGCTGGGCACTGGGCCTCACTTTGCACTGGTGAGGCAGGGTGGCGCCAGCCTTGTCCTCGGAGCCCTTGGGAGTTAAGCTCTCCATACGGTGTTCCGGTTGCTGTGCTGTGAGGGGGCGCAGTGAAGCCACTTGCCTGTACCACCTGTGGGGAAGGCGTGTGGCTGTGCCCATCTGCCCACCTGGCCAGGTGCTACCCAGGGATCTAATGAACACTTCAGATCTCCATCCCTACTGTATCCTGGGACTACTGGTCAACCTCACAGCATGTGAGGCCTTCGCTTCTCAAATTGCTTCCTCTAAATGAGTGACTGTAGCATTTTTTGAGAGCAGCTGTTATGACTTTTTCTGAGATTTTTTTTTTCTTTTGACAGGTAGAGTGGACAGTGAGAGAGACAGAGAGAAAGGTCTTCCTTTGCCGTTGGTTCACCCTCCAATGGCCGCCATGGCTGGTGCGTGGCGGCCGGCGCACTGTGCTGATCCGAAGGCAGGAGCCAGGTGCTTCTCCTGGTCTCCCATGGGGTGCAGGGCCCAAGCACTTGGGCCATCCTCCACTGCCTTCCCAGGCCACAGCAGAGAGCTGGCCTGGAAGAGGGACAACCGGGACAGAATCCAGCGCCTTGACCAGGACTAGAACCCGGTGTGCCGGCGCTGCTAGGTGGAGGATTAGCCTAGTGAGCTGCGGCGCCGGCCTGACTTTCTCTGAGATTGTAATGAGAACTCTGAGAAACACATGCAGGGACCAACGCTGTGGTGTGGCAGGTTAAGCTGACGCCAGCATCTCATAACGGGAGCACCGGTTTAAGTCCCAGCTGTTCTGCATCTGATCCCGCTTCCTACTAATGTGCTTGGAATGGCAGCGGAGGGTGGCCCAAGTGCTTAGGTCCCTGCCACCCTTGTGGGAGATCCTGATGAAGTTCCTGGCCTGGATCTGGCTGTCATAGGCATTTGGGGAATGAGCCAGCAGATGGAAGATCTCTTTCTGTTACTGCCTTCCAAAAACAAACAAACTTTAAAGAAAAAACAAAAACCAAACCAACAACCCCCGCTCTTAAGGGTGACCCGTGAACTTTACTGTAGTTCATTAGGGGAACACCTTGCCTCAACCCCAGAGGAGGAGAAAGGACTGAGGAATGTGGCCCATACTTCTGTGGAGTCCGGTCAGGAAAAATGCCCTGTCCCCATTCTATGGGAACTGCTTTTAGCTCCAGGAATCTTTGCAAGCACAAAAACAAGCGGCTGAACTGGCAGGCAGTGGGCAGGAAGTCTGGCCGCACGTCCTGACCTGCTGGTCCAGATGTTGGCCAAGTCGCAACAGGACGTGTCAAGGTTAGCAGTAATACCGGAGTCGGCGTGCTGGGTCCTGGGGCCTGTGGGAGCGGCAGACTGCGACTTTTCAGAGCTGAGAGCTAGAAGGCACCACTGATCCCGTCCAGCTCTCGGTTGCCTCTCACTGCTGTGATTGGGAGTCTGGGTGCACTTTTGTCTGTGAGCAAATGCACAGTCCCTCTGTGTCTCCACCTCAGGTGCTGGGGGCAGGGAGTGTGCTGGTGCTATGTACAGGGTGCTCAGCAGGTGCCTTTGGGTGCTGATGATGGTGAGGAGAGGCGGAGGTTTTCAATAAAGAGCCAGTAAAGGCCCAAGCGTGTGCTGTCTGGCCGAAGCATCTGTCTTGGTGATTGGACCTGGAAAAACTTGGGAGCCCAAGGCTGGCTGGGTGGGAGGGGATCAGCCACCAATCAGTATTCTTTTTCTTTCAGGTCTCTTGACTTTCGTAAACTGTGCTTATGTCAAGTGGGGAACTCTGGTACAGGACGTTTTCACCTACGCTAAAGTTTTAGCACTGATTGCGGTCATCATTGCAGGCATTGTTAGGCTTGGCCAAGGTAAGAAATATTATCAACGGCAACTAACATTTGTCAAGCATTTTCTGGGAGCCACACTTGACTCAGTGTTCTCTGTGCATCATCTCATTGGATTGCCACAGTCACCTTATTTGGTTGGCGTCATTGTTTTTCCCATTTTATGGATGAGGAAATGGCTGCAGAATTAAGTGACCTGCTGCCCAAGTCCCAGGCAGTAAGTGTTGGAGCTGAAATTTGTACCCAGGCAGACCGTCCTTTACCTGTTAGGCGTGCTGCTGCCCAGAGGAGGCCGCTCTTGGCAAAAGGGCTGACAGCTGTGCACTGAGAGCTGGTGTTTGCAGAGTGACGAGCCTAATATTACGGTAATAACTGTTCTGCCAAGGTCAGAAACAAACTCCTTGTACCTAATCCTCAGCAGTTTCCAGGTATGAATGAACACCTGCCCTACAATCACAGTTTACCTGGGTGCACTGAGCCCAGGCTTCCCTCTACCCTGGTCAGCCCTGGCTGGTGTTAGAAAGGGGGTGGGACCCAGCCAGCCTACAGAGCAGCGCAGAGTAGCACCACTCCTGTTCTCCAGCCCTTCTGTTCCCTAGTGGATTCTTTTTTTTTTTTTTTTAGATTTATTTATTTATTTGAAAGGCAGAGCCACAGAGAGAGAGAGAGAGAGAAAGAAAGAGAGGCAGGGAGAGAGGGAGAGAGAGAGGAGTCTTTTGTTCACTAGTTCACTCCCCAAATAGCCGCAGTGGCCAGAATTGGGCTGATCTGAAGCCAGGAGCTTCTTACGGGGGTCTCTTACCCGGGTACAGGGGCCCAAGTAGTGCAGGGGCCCGAGGACTTAGGCCATCTTCTTACTGCTTTCCCTGGCCATAGCAGAGAGCTGGATTGGAAGTGGAGCAGCCCATGTGAGATGCCAGCATTGCAGGTGGTGGCTTCACTCACTACGCCACAGCACTGGCCCCTCCCTGTTGGATTCTTGTCCTTTCTTATTTGTCATGGGTCCTTGCGGTCAGGATCCCCACACACGCCACTGTCTGCATTCTGGCACATTCTTGTAGATGTGTTTCTTCTGTTTCCTGTTTCTTCTGTTTCCTGTTTCTTTTCTTGTTAAGCATTTTATTTATTTGAGAGGCAGAGAGAGAGAAAGACACATGGAGAGAGAACTCCAGTCCACTAGTTCACTCCCCAAATGCTTTTAACAGCCAGGGCCAAAACTGGGAGCTGAGAATTCAATCATGTCTTCCACATGGGTGACAAGAACCCACTTATTTGAGTCATCCCCACTGCCTCCCAAGGTCTTTGTTAGCGGGAAGCTGGAGTCAGGGGTTGGAACTGGGAATTGAACCTAGGCACTATGATGTGGGATGCAGGCGTCTTGACCAGTGTCTGAACCACCAGGCTAAACGCCCACCCCCTGTTCTGTGCTTCTGCAGTGGTACCCTTGCTGCCACATGGGTTCAAAGCCACTTACCTGCTATTACTGCTGTATTCTACTCCTTTACTCAACCATCTGGAAGTTGGGGAACAAGCCACTAATCTTTCTGCCTTCTAATGTTTGGGTTCTAGGAGGCACGGCTCACTTTGAGAATTCTTTTGAGGGCTCATCATTTGCAATGGGTGACATTGCCCTGGCATTGTACTCAGCTCTCTTTTCCTACTCGGGCTGGGACACCCTCAACTATGTCACTGAAGAGATCAAGAATCCCGAGAGGTAGGTACCTCACGGCTAACTTTCCACAGCAATGCTGGCCATCATTTATTGAACTCCTTCTGTGTGCCAGTCACAGTACATCACAAACACCTGTGGGGTTGATTTTATCAGCTCCATCTTAATTTTTAAAAAACAACATATTTATTTGAAGGGCAGAGAGGTGGGCGTTGAGGGAGCTGGTGTGGTAGAGAGAAAGAGGTCTTTTATCTGCTGATTCACTCCCTAAATGGCTATAACCGTCAGGGCTGGGCCAGGCTAAAGCCAGGAGCTGGGAACTCCATAAGGGTCTCCCATGTGGTCGACAGGAACTCAAGTAGTTGAGCTTCCCAAAAGCATTAGTAGAGAGCTGCATTGGAAGTGGAACAGCTGGGACTGGAATCAGCATTCTGATATGAGCCATCTGTACACCAATGTCTGTCCAATGAATTTACTTAAAAATTTTTAAAAACTTATTTGAAAGTCACACACACACACAGAAAAATGAAGCTCTCCTATCTGCTGGTTCTCTCCCTGAATGTCCACAACAGCTGAGAGTGGGCCAGGCCAAAGCTGGGAGTCAGGAACCCAGAGTCTCCCAGGGACCCAACTCCCTGAACTATCAACTGCTGCCTCCCAGCATATGTAACAGCAGGAAGCTGGAACTGGGATAGCGGCTAGGACTTGAACTCAGGCACCCCAATATGGGATGCAGGTACTCCAACTGGTAACTTAATTGTTGTGCCAAATGCTTGCCCCTACTAGCTCCATTTAATTTATTATCTCATTTTATTTGAAAGGCAAAGAGACACAGACAAAGATCTTCCTTGTGCTGGTTAATCCCCAAAAGCCTCTAACAGCCAGGGCTAGGCGAGACCAAAGCCAGGAGCCTGGAATTCAATCTGGGTGTCTCACAGGAGTGGAAGCAACCCAACTTACTGGAGCTGTCACTACTGCCTCTCAGGATACACATTAGCAGAAAGCTAGAGTCAGAGTGGAGTCAGGATTCAAACCTAGGTCTTCAGATTTGGGATGTGGGCATCCCAAGGAGTATCTTAAATGCTGTGCTGAATGCTCACCCTTGTAAAGTTTTTCTAAAAAGTCCTTTTCACACTCGTTCATTTACTCTTGCATTAATTAAAGAAGATTGTACCATGTGCTTATGTATGTTCTAACAATAGATTTTGCAGGGCTGGCACTGTGGTATAGCAGGTAAAGCCACCGGCTGGAGTGCTGGTATTTCATATGGGTGCTGGTTCAAGTCCTGGCTGCTCCACTTCCTATCCAGCTCTCTGCTATGGCCTGGGAAAGCAGTAGAAGATGGCCCAGGTCCTTGGGTCTCTGCACCCATGTGGGAGACCCAGAAGAAGCTTCTGGCTCCTGGCTTTGGGTCAGCACAGCTCCTGCTGTTGCTGCCAACTGGGAAGAGTGAACCAGCGGATGGAAGACCTCTCTCTCTTTCTCTGCCTCTCCTTCTCTCTCTCTCTCTGTAACTCTTTCAAATAAATAAATAAATCTTTAAAAATATATATTTTACTTGGTATATCTTTTACCCACATAGATAACTTTAGGTTTTAAACTTATGGAAACCGCCGGTGCTGCGGCTCACTAGGCTAATCCTCCACCTAGCGGCGCCGGCACACCGGGTTCTAGTCCCGGTTGGGGCGCCGGATTCTGTCCCGGTTGCCCCTCTTCCAGGCCAGCTCTCTGCTGTGGCCCGGGAGTGCAGTGGAGGATGGCCCAAGTGCTTGGGCCCTGCACCCCATGGGAGACCAGGATAAGTACCTGGCTCCTGCTGTCGGATCAGCGCGGTGCGCCGGCCGTGTCGGCCATTGGAGGGTGAACCAAGGGCAAAGGAAGACCTTTCTCTCTCTCTCTCTCTCACTGTCCACTCTGCCTGTCAAAAAAAAAAAAAACAAAAAAACAAAAAAACAAAAAAAAACCTTATGGAAACCTTCCTTTGTTTCCCAGTTCCTTGATTCCCACGTTCATCCTGGCATTATGTTGCTTGTCATTCAAGCAGATCACCCCATGCTTTATCTAAATTGCCCTGTAGTCTTGCAGGGTGAAAGGAGCATTGGATAGGGAGTCAAAGAACCTGCATTTTTTTACTGATTGTGAGTGATTCGTTCAAGGTCATTCAACAAGTCTCAGGTTGCTTCCTTATCTGTAACTGAGGGGGTTGAATTATAGCATCTCCAGGGCTTTTCCTGGCTCTAAAACACCATGATTCTGGGAACTACGTTTTGCCAGTGGGTAGAGTGTCTGTAAATTTTCAAGATCAAAAGAATAACAATTCCTATACCAATAAACTCTTTTGACTTTGAGAGACAAAGCACTGCTGGCCTACATTGGCTGTGGCTACCTTGGGAGCAGAGGTGATAGAAGCTGGGTAGAAGCCTGGCTGGTGCTTCCACCTACTGGACAGAAGCTGAATGACTCCAGTACTTGCCCCTCTGCTTTTCTGGTGACACTGTCAAGGATGTTTATATAGATCATGGCTTTCTTGGGCTACAGGGACTGTGAGAAGTCTTTGTGCCCTTATCTTGGCCACAAGTGAGGCTGGCACCCAAGGTTCTCAGAGAGGGTGAGTGGACACTCTCTCTCCCAGGTTGCTTGTTCAGAAACACATGTTGCTCTTTCCACCGAAGGCCTAGCTTATTCTTTGGAGATGTTAGATTTCACAATTTGCCTCCATAATTTCTTATAGTTTTAATCTTAAAATTTCCAGTGTTGATAATCTTAGAGAATGAATCCTGATACTGTGAGAACTTTGGATGTAAAAACAGCTTCCATCTGCTATGCTGTTTGCTGTGATATAGTACATTAATTCTCTTTTTCTTTCTGTGGCATTTTCTCCTGTGATATTCCTTTCCCCTAATGCTCTTTAGTTCTACAGAGTTCAGAGCTTCAGCCACTGTCCTAGGCTGAGGGCAGAGGCACTGGAAAATGCAGCAAGAATCTCTGTCCCTGGAAAGATTGGCGTGGCAGGGAGAGTCAGGATGGAAGGAGGCACAGGGATGTGACTGTGGGACTAATATATCCTTTACTCTGTTTGGCTGTAGGAACCTGCCCCTGTCCATTGGTATTTCCATGCCTGTTGTCGCCATCATCTACATCTTGACCAATGTGGCCTATTACACTGTGCTAGACATGAGGGACATCTTGGCCAGTGATGCTGTTGCTGTGGTAAAGGATTTTCACTAGCAGGAGAAGGTTAAGGGTGTGTTGGGCTTCTGGGTATCTCTCAGCTCTTGAAATTCTTGGAAAGGGGGTAGACAGCCTTAGAGGAGTACGTGTAGGATGCTGAGCTTGCAAGAAGGTCCTGTGACCCCCACTGTAGTGGAAGGGTTGGGTTTCTGGGGAATGCCTCTCCACCTCTATCATGACGTTGACTTCCTGGTAATGACCTCTCCATTTATTTCCCTTTAGACTTTTGCAGACCAGATTTTTGGAGTATTCAACTGGACAATTCCACTTGCAGTTGCTTTATCCTGCTTTGGTGGCCTCAATGCCTCCATTGTGGCTGCTTCTAGGTAACACTGGCATCTTTTGCTGGGGTTCATTTTGTGAAGAGTTATGGCTAGAGATGGTAGAACTTCTAGAACCTGGATTTTAACCGCCCGTGTCCCCCAGATGACACCTTTTGTCTTGCTGTTCCCATCAGCAGTCTCCAATTGTCACTAATCTCAACACTGAACTCCATTCCATCTTATGCACTCTTTTGAAGGGGTAGCAGAGAGGGAGGGCCACATGGCAGGTGAACCAAGTTACACCCAGTGTCTCACAGCTATCTCAGTCTCTCTTGTTTTTCCTAAAACAGGCTGTTCTTTGTGGGCTCAAGGGAAGGCCATCTCCCTGATGCCATCTGCATGATTCATGTGAAGCGGTTCACGCCTGTGCCTTCTCTGCTCTTCAATGTAAGTGATCTCAAGGATGACTGGAAGCCAGATTGTGGGGGGAAACTTTGGTAATAGTGGATGCCAGCTGTTCTAGTTTCCACGAGGCTTAAAGGATTTTTTTTTTAAAAGATTTATTTATTTATTTGAAAGGCAGAGTTAGAGGAAGATCTTCCATCTGCTGGTTCACTCCCCAAATGGCCACCAATGGCTAGAGCTGGGCCGGTATGAAGCTAAGAGCCGGGTGCTTCTTCTGGGTCTTCCATGTGAGTGCAGGGGCCCAAGCACTTGGGCCATCTCCTACTGTTTTCTCAGGTGCACTAGCAGGAGCTGGATCGGAAGTGGAGCAGCTGGTACTCAAACTGGTGCCCATATGGGATGCTGGTCCGCAGGTGGCTTTACCCACTGAGCCATGGGGCCGGATCCTCAAAGGAGAATGATAGTGTAGTGCCTTAGCGAAGTTTTTCTAACTGCTGCAGTGTTTCCTGAGATCTGTTCTCAGGAATGGTGATCACCGTGTTCTAAGGTAAAAGATCAAGTACAAGAATACACTGCAGTGACTGATTGCCATTCAGTGAGTGATGTAGTTTTTAAGAGAAGAAATGATTGCTTTTGCTCTTCAAATAAATGAAATTGTCAATTAAAATTTAAAAAAATCTTGCAGAAGGCCCTTTCCAGATGGCTTCAACCTACATTTTTAGCTCATTTCTTTCTACTCAACTCCACGTTGCTTTTTTGTAGGACTCTCTGATGCTATTTCTCTTACCTAAAAGTCTTCTCTATAATTTGCAATCCTAATTTTCAAAATCCATTTCAAATGAACTCACCATTTAAAAAAATTTTTTTTAAATTTTCTTTGAAAGGCAGGCAGATGTCTTTTGTTGGTTCACTTCCCCAAATACCTGCAATAGCCAGAGCTGGGACAGGCCGGAGCTGGGAGCCCAGAACTCAGTCTGTGTCTCCCATGGGGGTGGCAGGGACCCAAGTACTTCAGCCATCATTTGCTGCTTCCCAGGGTGCACAACAGCAGGACGCTGAGTAGCTGGGACACAAAGCAGGCACTCCAACATGGGATGCCCATGTCCAAGTGGTGATTTAATCACATGCCTGTCACAAAAAAAATTTTTTTTAAAGATTATTTGAAAGGCAGAGTTACAGAAAGGGGGGTAGAGAGAAAGAAATCATGCTTCCATCTGTTGGTTCACTCCCCCAAATGGCTGCAAAGGTCAGAGCTGGGCCAAGCTGAAGCCAGGACATTCATCCAGGTCTCCCATGTGGGTGCAGGGGCCCAAGGACTTGGGCCCTCTTCTGCTGCTTTCCCAGGTGCATTAAGCAGGGAGCTGGATCAGAAATGGAGCAGCTGGAACTTGAATTGGCACCTGTATGGGACGCGGTTGCTGCAGGTGGTAGCTTTACCTGCTATGCCACAGCACCAGCCCCACAAAATATTCTTAAAAAAAAAAAAAAAATTGAGACAAAGAGCTCCTGTTTGCTGATTCACTCTGCAAATAACTGGGCTGAGAACCCAATCTAGGTCTCCTATGTGGATGGCAGGGACCCAACCACCTGAGCTGCTTCCCAGGGTCTGGTACCAGGAAGTTGCAGCCTGGGGCCCCAGCTTGGAATTCAGTGCAGGCACTCTGATAGGGCATGTGTCTCAACTGTCATCTTAACCACGTAGCTAAACACCCACACCTATGTGAAGTATTTTTTGAGGGGCTGTACTTTATTGAAGGTTAACTTGATAAAGGTTTGAAGAACCAGTTGAAAGGCTAATGACTAATAGAAAATGAGATCCTGAAACAGGTGCTAACTCAGGTGGGAACAGTAGAGACTCAGGACTTGACAGGGAATGATCTGTAGGGATGGAAGGGAGGAAGAAATGATATGCCTTGAGATGAAAGGCCCCGAGAGCTGACTTGGATTGCACCTGCAGGGCATCATGGCACTGATCTACCTGTGTGTGGAGGACATCTTCCAGCTCATTAACTACTACAGCTTTAGCTACTGGTTCTTTGTGGGGCTCTCCATCTTGGGTCAGCTCTACCTGCGTTGGAAGGAGCCCGATCGACCTCGTCCTCTCAAGGTAACTCACCTCTGGTCCCTCAGAACAGCTAGCGCTGCAGCTACTGGGCGTTCTCGCGAGTTTACTGACACCTTTGCCTAGGGCTTGAAGGTGGTAGTGGGCTGGGATCCTTACGGGAGGCGGGGTTATTGTGGCTGTCAAGGGTCCTGAGCTAACACCCAGTTGTTTTGTCTCTGCCCGTAGCTCAGCCTTTTCTTCCCCATTGTCTTCTGCCTCTGCACCATCTTCCTGGTGGCTGTTCCGCTTTACAGTGACACCATCAATTCCCTCATTGGCATCGCCATCGCCCTCTCAGGCTTGCCCTTTTACTTCCTCATCATCCGAGTGCCCGAGCAAAAACGACCTCTTTGCCTCCGAAGGATTGTGGGTAAGCCTTGGATCCATGAGTCACCTCAGCTAGTCTATGGCTTTTTTTTTTTTTTTTTTTTTGCTTTTCTGGAGATTGAGCTCTCGTGTCACCTTTGCTATAGCCCGTTATTAACCTTATTACTAACTGAATCACTCCCCTCAGTCTGTCTCATTCAGTGCCACTTGAACTCAGCTATCAATTTTGTTTTGACTCAAACTTCTTTGTAGCGTCCGCCACCCGGTACCTGCAGGTCCTGTGTATGTCAGTTGCTGCAGAAATGGATTTGGAAGATGGAGGAGAGATGTCTAAGCAACAGGATCCCAAGTCTAACTAAAACCTGCTGGAATCCTGAGATGGGGCAGATGAGGCCTCTCGTTTCCTACCAGCTGGAGTCAAGGAAGCTGAAAAACTCCCTTCTTTGGAGGCATCCACCCAGAAGCCTAGTGAAGGCAGCTTCAGCCCCTGAATTTGCTTCTTGAGACATGAAAAGTAATTTATTTGTTCTGCTACCTTTGCTCCAGGCTTTGGAGAGGACAAAGCAGACTGTGGTGGGGCATGTCAGGTGTGGGCGTGGTCTAACAGCATCCTGGGTGTGCCTACCCACTCCTCCTTTTCTTGAAAAGGGCCAACATTGCTCCAAACCTCCTGTCTCCTCAGAGACACGAAACTGTCATGTGTGCTGGACAAAAATAAAACAGTTATGTTCCTAAAGTCCGAGTGGCTTCATCTTATACAGTGTCTTGGGGAAGCTCCCATTAGTCTGAAAAGAGGGAAGACTAAACACAATCTTTTGAAAATTATCATTAAGAATTTGAACACATCTCTCTCTTTTTTAAAAAGATTTATTTCAAAGTCAGTAAGAGAGATCTTTCATCCACTGGTTCACTCCTGAGATGGTTGCAACACCAGGGCTGGACCAGGCTGAAGCCAGGAGCCAGGATGGCCTAAGCACTTGGGCCATCTTCCACTGCTTTCCCCATGCCATTAGCTGGGGACTGGCGCTCCTATGGGATGCCAGCATTGTAGGTGGCGGCTTTACCTCCTATGTCACAATGCCGGCCCCAAATCTACTCCTTAAAGGAAAATTTTGGGGTCTAAAAAATGTAGTTACTGAGGCAGGTGTGGCACAGCAGGTTAAGCCACTGCTTAGGGTGCCTGGGAGTAAGTCCAACATACACTTCCCTTTCTGCTTTCTTCTACTGTACATTCTAGGAAGCGGCAGATGACGGTTCAGGTGCCTGGGTCTCTCATCCCCTCACATCCTGACACCTGGCTCAGCACAGTTGCTGCAGGCATTTAGGGAGTGAACAAGTAGATGGAAGATCTCTCTCTCCATCCTTATCACCCTTCCAAATAAATAAATCTTTAAGAAAATGTGGTTACTACATTTAAATATAATTTGTTGGGGCCGGCACTGTGGCTCACTTGGGTTAATCCTCTGCCTGTGGCACTGGCATCCCATGTGGGTGCTAGATTCTGTCCCAGTTGCCCCTCTTCCAGTCCAGCTCTCTGCTGTGGCCCGGGAGGGCAGTGGAGGATGGCCCAGGTGCTTGTGCTGCTGCACCCGCATGGGAGACCAGGAGAAAGCACCTGGCTCCTGGCTTCGGATCAGTGCAGCGCTGGCTGTGGCGGCCATCTGGGGAGTGAACCAACAGAGGGAAGACCTTTCTCTGCCTCTCTCACTGTCTATAACTCTGTCAAATAAAAAGCAGCAACACCAAAAAGAAGTATTAACAATCATTATTGGTAATAATACAATAAAATTTAAAAATCATTTTAAAAAAGATTTATGTATGTATTTGAAAGGCAGAGTTAGAGGCAGAGAATCTTCCATCTGCTGGTTCACGTCCCAAATGGCTGCAGCAGCAGGATCTGGGCTGATCTGAAGCCAGGAGCTTCTTCTGGGTCTCGCACACGAGTGCAGGAGCCCAAGCACTGGAGCCATCTTCCACTGCTTTCCCAGGCCATAGTAGAGAGCTTGATCAGAAGTGGAGCAGTTGGGTCTCGAACCAGCGCCCATATGGGATGCTGGCCATGCAGGTGGCAGCTTTACCCAATACGCCACAGCACCATCTCTTTTTAATATAATCTTATACTTCCATGACTGTGATGCAAATGTGGGTACAGAGACACATCTACGGAGTAGAGGTTTATGCTCACTGCATAAAAGGGCACAGGTCAGCAAGAGCAGTCATGACCGAACGTATCCTTTTTTTCTGTGGCACACAGAAAAGTAAGTGTCAGGAAGCAGCATGTAGTACAGAGGTTTACTAACCCTGTGGATGGGAAGAGCATTTGGCTCCCCAGTGCACTCTTACATGCAGGCATTAAAGTCTGTAGTGGAAGCCACTTTAAAAATGGACGTAAAAGTGAACATCTCCATGTCCCACGGCTGCTAGGTCTGGGACAAGGACATGGCATTAACCCTCGTTTTGAGGATGAGTCTTTGAAGATACACAGTTCCTGCCAGAATGAGGAGGCAGCGCAGTTCAGCCAAGCGTGTCACTCCACGGTTTTGACTTTGGTTTGCTGCTGCTGCTGCTGCTGCTGCTGCTGCTGCTGGGGGTGTTGGAAGGGTGGTTCTTTGCAGGCTGTAGCAGAGGGTTGTGGGTAAAGGTTTGCCTTAGGGGACCTGCGGGAAAGAAAAGAAATTTCAGTAACAGGAAAACAAGAACCAAGGGAAGGACTTGGCCTGAGAGGATTATTTACCCCTGGCCGCAAGCTCCAAGTGATTCTGCATGCGTCGTTCCCGCTCTCGAAGCTGATGTGCCATCTCAGCATTCTTCCAGCCTGGAGAAAGACAAGAGGCAGTCTTGTCCCCGTTTTGAGACCACTGCCCCCCGCTTCTGTTCTGTACAGGGCAGGCCCTCACCTTTCTTGAAGCTCTTTATGAAGCCCTCTCGTGGAGGTAATTTGTCAGGGTCATGCACAACACGCTGGGGGATTTTAAGTACAGTGCGTACGGCAGGGATCCGGAGGCAGGCCACCTGGCCCAGGGAAAACAGGTTGGAGGAGAGCCAGTACACAAACACTGCCTGGGAGAGAATAAAGAGAAAGTCTCAGACGTTGTGTCCCTGGTCAGCTTGCCAGGAGGCAGCCCCTAAGCTATTACTTACGGAGGGAAAGTGGATGGTTATGGGCAACACTGCCAGGGGCATCACTCGGAGAACATTTCGCATCCACTGAAGGTCAGAACTTTGCATGCCCGTCTCAGCACCTAGCTGTCAAGGGGAAGAAACCAGGCCAGTTGGGGGAGAAGAAGAAAAGAGTGACACGTGCCATTTTAGTGAAACTGCCTCTCACCCACCAGGGAGTGAAGGATCACCATGCTCCACTACTGCTTTCTTCCCTACACCCGGTCACTCTGTGGGCCTGGCGCCTGGCCAGCCAGGGCTTACCTCCAGCACACCCCACATCGTGGCAGTGACCACCATCGGCAGGATGTAGGTGGGATCAGACACGGTGAGATTCTGGAACCACCAGAGGCCGCCTGTCTGCAGGCTGGGCACAGGAAGGTTGGCCATCTCTCTCAAGGCGATGAAGAAGGAGATGAAGATCGGAGCCTGTTTCACAGGATAAACAGTGGTGGCATACGTTAGCAGGAGACATTTCTGTTACTCCAGTACTGAAAGCTACTGGGTCACCACCGCCTGCCTTTTTAGGGGCCTGGGGCATGGGAAACACAGAGAAGGCAACTGGATAACGTAGAGGGAAAGGTTTTGGCTCACCTGAGTCAGAGGTAGAATGAGAGGTCTGAGGAGTTTAATATCATGCTTTTTCTGGTAAAGTGTCATCTCTGACGAGGCCCTGTACACTGAGGCGAGAGAAAATCAATGGCTGGCTAACAGCTGTGTGTGTGTGTGTGTGTGTGTGTGTGTGCGCGTGTGAACGTGCTCATCACCAGGCCCATGAAAGCCTGAACGGACCCTGGCCACTCCTGGAAGCACGGGGCCCAAGAAGCAGATCAGTCTTTAGAACTGGCCCAACAGTCGCAACTCGTGACTTCCCCCAGCCGACTGCCAGAAGTGCGAATGCGATCCTCCCCCACAGCACCCCGCAGCTGACTTACACTCGGCGTGGTCTCCTGTCAACCTGGCCTCTCGGATTCGAGCAGAAAACTTCTGGATCTCAGGCACATGGTTGTGGATCTTGGCTGCCTCCCGCTGGCCTTTCACGATGAGAGGAAAAATCAGGCAGCGGGCAAGCACTGTACCTGGAAAACACAAACTAGGATTGGAGTGAAAGTGAAGCAGTTCTGTGGCTGAAGGCTTTGTAGGTCCCCCCCCCATCTGACTTCAGCCTTCTCCATGCTCTGTGCCATGACGCCCAGAAGTAAGGGCGGGGCACTGCTCAGTCCTCTGCTCTGACACACGAGACTCAGTCACCTCCTCTAAGCAGATGACCAGGACTCCTGTTCCCTGAACACAAAGCTGACCGAAGCTCAGTGCCTTCTAAAGCTTTCTATTATCAATGGAATTTTCTTTTTTTACCCATAGGCATGGCCCAAATACACAAAACAAATAAATCAGGTTGGCCTGAACGAAGGGAGATGCTCTGGCCTTCCCCTTGCTCAGAGGGCACTTTATGGAGCTCTTGGGCTGCCAGGAGTAAACTGGGAAGCTATTATGGAAACTGTGCATAGGAAGTGACCTGGTGACTGTTTTAGTTTCTTCCTATTTATTTTCGTACACTTCACGTTTCCCAATCATTCTGACAAGTATTTAGTTCATGGTCTCTGTAGACATACAAGTAGGCCTAAGCTGAGAAGAGACCGGGGGAAGATTCAGGTTTAGGTTCTATCAACATTATGGTGATGTGGAGTGGAGAGCGAGCCAAGACGGGAACTCAGGATAGCAGCAGTGAAGGGGTGTGCAGAGTAGCGGGTAATGGCAATGGGAAGGTATGATCAGGACTAGAGGAAGGAAATCAGGAAACACTGTTAGAGAAGCCAAGGGGTAGGCTTCAACTTCTAAAATGTCTAATGCAGAAAGGCCAAATGTGCCAGGAAAACCTGATTTAGCAATGTCATCACTGGCAGTTTTATTACTAAATATAATGTCCTATGACAACCAGTACTCAGGTGATATTACTAAAAGCCAGACTGCTGACGGTCAAAGAGTAAATGGAAAGAAGCAGGACCACCAGAGGCAGAATCCTGTTTTTAAATAACAGCTATGAAAAGGAGGAGGACCACATGGGTATGCTTGAACATGTTTACGCTTTAAGTACGGCAGTAAGGAGTTAAATGCTGAAGACACAGGACAGAATAGATAAGGACGTAGCAAGGTGTGGAAGAAACAATTCAAAGCACAGTTCTAGTCTTTGTAAGAACAATCCGAGTGCTTTCCCAACTCCGGGTTTCAGGCGCCTGATCCAACCTTCTACTCTCCCCAACAAGGGTAGTGTCTTCACTGTGAAAAAGGTCCCTCTATACCAATCCCACTCTCCCATTCAATCATCTCTACTTCTTGAGTGCCAGATGATCCAGTGTTTTTTTTTTTTTTTTTTTTGACAGGCAGAGTGGACAGTGAGAGAGAGAGACAGAGAAAAAGGTCTTCCTTTTGCCGTTGGTTCACCCTCCAATGGCCGCTGCGGCCGGCATGCTGCGGCTGGCGCACCGCGCTGATCCGATGGCAGGAGCCAGGAGCCAGGTGCTTCTCCTGGTCTCCCATGGGGTGCAGGGCCCAAGCACCTGGGCCATCCTCCACTGCACTCCCTGGCCACAGCAGAGAGCTGGCCTGGAAGAGGGGCAACCGGGACAGAATCTGGCGCCCCGACCGGGACTAGAACCCGGTGTGCCGGCGCCGCTAGGCGGAGGATTAGCCTAGTGAGCTGCGGCGCCGGCTCGATCCAGTGGTTCTATGTTCTTCAGGAAACAGAGTGCAGCTGGGTACCGCGAGCCTCTGACTCTCATTTGAATCATCTGCTTTTCTGACTCCTGAATTTTTCCAACTATTTCTGCTGCCCACTGACAGAATCTGAGAGAGACAGATCTCATCTCCCAGTTCATTCTCCAAATGCCCCCAGCAGGTCTGGGTAGGGCCAGGGGCTGGAGCTGGGAGCCAGGAACTCAATCTGGATTTCCCATGAGTAGCAAGAATTCAACCACTTGAGCCATCATTGCTGCCTCCAGAGGCTGCACCAGCAAGAAGCTGGAGTCAGGCGGCTGTGTATTAAACCCAGCCTCTATGATACGGGACACAGATATCCTAACTGCTAGACCGGATGCTCACCCCTTGAAATACCACCTTTAAGGTTCTATTCCCAAGTTCCCTTACATGCAGCAATGGCCCCCCACCACGGTAGCTCCAGGTCAACGTGCATAAATTCCAGTAAATTCTGAATCAGTCCCACTGGGGTGTACGAGCCCAGGCCCAGCTCAGTGAAGCTCTGTTCTGCAGCAGCCTGGATTACATCCGCCGTCTCGGAGGGCACCTCAGGTACCACTGAGGCTGAAGGAGGTGCAGGGACAACAGGAGCAGGCGGAACCTGTGCAAAAAGAAGTCAGGTGTGAAGACGTAGAAATGTCCTACGACAACCAGTGCTCTTTACTTTTGTTTTTCTGGGGCAGCCTGCAATACCCACAGCTTTCATGTGTAAAAAGGACAACGTATTTTTGCCTCTAGGCAGGAAGAGAATTACTTCTCATAGCAGCTTCCCAAACTTTAGCCTTTTGAATATGATGATTATAGTTTTAGTAAAACTAATACACTTAGACTTTTCTTTAAAACAACTCAATTTTTAAGACCTAAACAGCTAGCTAATCTCCTCTTCTGAGCACCCCAAAATCATGCATTTGGTACCCACGGTGTAATTTTTCTACCACACACACTCTGAATCAAATCTTCCCTCATCAGTGGTTTGTCCACCTCTGTGTCGGACAACGCCTTTCACATAAATCTCTCCTCCTGTACTTCAATCATACCCCTAGTGAACTGAAAACTTACCCCGGAGCACAGACGCTAACGTGTTGGGGCACTGTGGGAAGTGTGGACAACTCTGCTACATTACTCCTCCTCCTCCCAAACAAAATAAAAATAAAACAACCAAGAAGCACCACTCCCGGCCTCCAGGAATGAAAAGGTCTCTTACCTGGGCTTCTGCAAACGAGACGGCAGAGACACTGAGCCAGCGGGGGCCGGCGGCCGCGATGAGCACGTAGCGCGGGCGCCCCAAGCCCCGGCCGGCTGGGAACAGGAGCCCGGGGGTCAGCAGTTTCCGGGGCCATTGCGAGGGCCCTGCGACGCTGTGGAACTGAGCGGGGAGAAGGATGATGGAGCCCCTTTACCGCGAGCGAAGCCCCAGAGCTCAGCGTCCCATGAAGCGGGTCGCCCGGCTCCCACAGGTGAGGCCACTGCTGCACTCCACGCACAGACCATCGGCCCGAGGACGTGCAACGGGGGCCAGCCCGGGGCTCTCCGGCATCGCGGTTACCCCGAAGCCACGCCGCGCTCAGAGGACGAGGCTGAGGGACTCTGAGGGGCAGGAGCGCAGCCAGTCCCGCGAGACGAACAACGCCACGGCGCCGCTGAGCCCGGGTAGCCGGGACGTAACCCTCCCGCGTCCTCACGCGCCCCGAGGTCGTGACACACAGATCCCAGTGAGCGGGTCAGCGTCTGCTAGTGCCCCCAGCTCCAGTCACGGGGACAAGGCAGTACGCGGGCGCTCGGCCCCGGGGCCACGCTTACCTGGCGCTGGGGTCGTAGCAGACGCAGAAGCTCACGGCGTCCGCACATTAACCCCATCGCCATTTTGCCCGGAAGAGGCTTGGCGTCCGCGCGTGCGCACTCAGGACCGCAGCCCGGCGGGAGGAGGCCCCTCTGGAAAAGGGAGGAAGCCAAAGCGTGGCCGGAGGTCACGTGGTAAAGGAGCCCGGAACTTGCCGGCTGAATTTGAAGCGGGTAAGAAGAATCCAAGGGCGACGCGAACGGACTCGTGCTTTTCCGAATTTGAAAGGAAATGTGTCTACAGCCATGAACGCACCCTGGACGCACCTCAGCGCGTCTGATAATGTTCGCGGCCCTTGTTAGTGACGGCGTAAACCCGGGTCTATGCCTCTGTCCTCCAGAGTCGCGATTGTTCTTTTTGATTTGTTGGTTTGAAAATAGCCTCCAGTCTTGGCCGTGTTTGATGTGGGTTGTTCCCATTCCATGGTATTTGATTTTTGTTTTTAATTTAACAGGCAGGGTTAGACAGTGAGAGAGAGAGAGACAGAGAGAAAGGTCTTCCTTCTGTTGGTTCACTCCCCAAATGGCCGCCACGGCTGGTGCTGTGCTGATCCGAAGGCAGGAGCCAGGTGCTTCTCCTGGTCTCCCATGGGGTGCAGGGTCCAAGCACTTGGGCCATCCTCCACTGCTTTCCCCGGGCACAGTAGAGAGCTGACTGGAAGAGGAGCAACTGGGACAGAATCCGGCGCCGCAGGCAGAGGGTTAACCTAGTCTGGTATTTGATTCTTTTTGCTAGATAGTGTTGTAGTTGCATATGCAATGAAATTAGAGAGTAGTGTGGAGTCTGATAGAGATGGAGGAAAGGCAGCTTCTAGGGGATGTTTTCCTCCCAGATAAAAGCATAAACCACCAGGAGGAAACTCCATGGCTCCCTTTCCCCTTAATTAAGTGCGGTTGTGTGGGACTGTGATGTTGAGGGGCAGGTCTCAAGATGAAAAGCTAATTTCTTGAAGGCTGAAAGATAGAAAAATACCTAAATACTTGATGATGTCATTGATTTGTGGTTCTGGAGCCACTGTTTCTAGGGTTGGTTGTGTAAGGCAGTTTAGAAGGTCTTTATTATTATTTTTTTTTTTAATTTTTGACAGGCAGAGTGGACAGTGAGAGAGACAGAGAGAAAGGTCTTCCTTTTTGCCGTTGGTTTACCCTCCAATGGCCGCTGCGGCTGGCACGCTGCGGCAGGCACATCGCACTGATCCAAAGGCAGGAGTCAGGTGCTTTTCCTGGTCTCCCATGGGGTGCAGGGCCCAAGGACTTGGGCTATCCTCCACTGCACTCCCGGGCCACAGCAGAGAGCTGGCCTGGAAGAAGGGCAACCGGGACAGAATCCAGCACCCTGGCTGGGACTAGAACCCTGTGTGCCAGGGCCGAAAGGCGGAGGATTAGCCTATTGAGCCACGGCGCCAGCCTTAGAAGTTCTTTATTCTTTAGGCTCTAAGTCTGTTGCTTAAGCATTGTTTCATGAGGCTGAAAGCATTCTTCTTTTCAAAGATTAAGGCAGAGGTACAGAGATGGAGAGGCAGAAAACTCTTCCATCTACTGGTCCACTCCCCAAGGTACAGAGAAGGAGAGGCAGAAAACTCTTCCGTCTACTGGTCCACTCCCCAAATGGATGCAACAACTGGGGCCGTGACTGGATCAGGCCGAAGCCAGGAGCCTGGAACTCCTTCCAGTTCTCCCATGTGAGTGGCAAGGGTCCAAGTACTTGGGCCATCTTCTGCTACCTTCCCAGGTGTACCAGTAGGAAGCTGGATGAGAAGTGGGACAGCTGGGATTCAACTCTGCTGATGGCAGGTGGTGGCCTAACCAGCACACGGTCCTATCCTCCTTTTAAAATTATTTGAAAGGTGGAGTTATAGATACAGAAGGAGAGAGGGAGAGATATATCTTCCATCCTGTGGTTCACTCTCTAAATGGCTGGAATGGCCAGGGCTGGGCCAGGCTGAAGCCAGGAGCCTGTGATTCTACCCTGGTCTCCCCATTAGGCTGTACCAGTCTCAGTACTTGTGCCATCTTCCACTGCTTTCTCAGGCACATTAGTATGGAGCTGGATCAGAAGTGGAGCAGCCAGGACTTGAACCAGTCAGCACTCATATGGGATGGTGGCATCACAGGTGGCGGCTTATCCCACTGTATCACAATGCTAGCCCCACTGAAAGCATTCTTAAAGATACATAAGGTGAAATCTCCCTCTTCCAAGGAAAAAAAAAAACAAAACTACTACTCAGGATGGTGAGAGTTGATTACACTAAACCCTTACAAAGTCCTAAGTACAGAGTGCTGTCTGAACAACAAAGTATAGTCTGAGAAAGATCTAGTAGCCTGCTAGTTTTAGGTTATGAATGTACCTGACAAATACTGAAAACTAGGAGGCAAAGAAATTTAATACAGATTTGGTGATAATTAGTGGTATGACTCAAGGCTCATATGTATTGAATGTTACTGTATGGAGGACGGCCCAAGTGCTTGGGCCCTGTACCCGCATGGGAGACCAGGAAGAAGCACCTGGCTTCTGGTTTCGGATCAGCGCAGCGCTGGCTGTAGCAGCCATTTGGGGAGTGAACCAACGGAAGGAAGGCCTTTCTCTCTGTCTCTCTCTCTCACTGTCTATAACTCTACCTGTCAAAAAAATTAAAAAAATAATGTTACTGTAAACAAACTTTTTAGAGATTATTTAAAAAAGATCTGCAGCTGGATGAAATATACAGCTATAGAACACTTGGTGATAGTGGAACTAGCCAATGGTGGGCTGTTTTGTGACCCCAAAGGAACCATCCCTCCCAGTATTTGCACTCTTTGTGGTTCCCTCTTCTTTATTATAGGCTGTCCCTGTGACTTGTCTTAGCCAATAGGATGTGTTGGAAATGATGCTGTGCCGGTTCTGGGCTGTCGCAGGTGCCTGCTGTCACACAGCTTGACAGGGCTTAAGAGTGAAGTGTCAGAGCACGGGGAAGAAAGGAATACAAGGACACATGACTGCCTTCACAATGAGAGATTTTTATTGCTTACACACCAGGGATTTTTATTGCACTACTAATCAGCATGCTCATTGAGGTCAATACACTTATCAGTATCAATATACTTATCGATCCATACTTATCAATATACTTAACAGTCCAATCTATAGCTTAACTGCTACTTAACTTACTATAATAACACTTAACTATCAGAATAACACTATTTCCTTAATGACTAAAGAACTATTGGGATCAATACCATTAATATCAATATCAGTAATACTACTTGAGCTTATTCATTAATCCACAGATCACAGTATACGGTGTTAAAATAACTTTGAGGGCTATCCAATTATAATAGTATATGTACAGCAAGGTATCGTTATTTTTAGTCATAGGGTCAAAGCATATTCATATTACATTACACATGGCTAATGTCATTTATAAGAGTTGCGTTTTCAAGGCTCACATCATGGCATGAAAAAAAGTCAGTGTTCAAAGTGCAGAGCTCAACGTCTCGGCAGAGACGGATTTCGGATCAGTCACTTACAGGCAGGAAGTTGTGGGAAGGCTGTCATTCTGGGCATTGGGCTCAGAGTTCCCAGGTGGATGGCAAGGCAAGGAGTAGGAGAGGTCCCCTGCTGAGAGGCCTGGTTCGGCTCTGCGGTGAGGTCTGGCAGCAGGCTGACACAATGTCTAAGCGAAGTGGCGAGGTGACAGCTCCACTGGAGATTGATCCCATAGTCGCCTTGTGTCTCTTAGCAAGGGGGCTGGCGAGCTGGCTCTTCGGCTCCAAATGTGTGGAGATCCAGAGGTTCACACACACCGGGCCCTTGATCCGTTATCGGCTTGTGCTGTTACCTGCTCCTCACAGAGTAACGGGCTGCCTCTTCAGCTCCAGATATGTGGAGATCCAGAGGTTCACACACGGGGCCATGATCCTTGAGAGGATGGAGAGCAGTGCCAAAGGCTCTGCTTTTATCCTAATTTTCCTGGCAGCTCTCCTGCTTGTTCAGTTTGGGTGCCCCCAATCAGTTGTGCTCCCTCTTGGAGTTTCCCGGGGTGCCACCAATCTGTTGTTTAGGATTGGGTGTTTCCAGCTCATTCTCAGGTTGCATCCAATCATCCTGCGAGTAGGAAGGTAACTCAAGGTTATCGTTCGTAGCACACACGTTACCAGACTGCCCAGGGATGTCTGTTCAGTCTGATGAGGAGCATCTTTCTTGGCAAGCACTGAGCTTGACATAAGTGATGTCATCAGTCTCTGGCTTGACATGAGTGACTCCATTTGTCTTTACTTGCACTTTGTGGATAGTGGTAGTTTTTGACTCTAGGCTTCTCTGTGGAGTTTCCACAGTTCACCTCTTTCTGCTTGTCTGGTAAGTGGTGATCTGTGACTCTATTTTTGGGACTCCTGTGGGATTCCCCACATGGGCCTGGTCCTTAAGAAGGCCCGGTAGCTTCTGCTGTACTTTTAGGGGGAAGTGAGCTGCTCTCTAGAAGGTTAGCTTCTCAGCCTTACATGTTGTGGGGAGCCCAGCCTAACTACGTGGAGAAGCACTGAGGTCTGGGCTAACAGAGTGTACACCAACTTGCCAGCCGTGTGAAAAAGGCCACTTTGGAAGTGGATTCTCTACTCCATATGGAACAGACAGTCTGTCAGATCTGCTCAAGTTGCAAATCTACAAGGAAATAAATAAACGATTATGTTTTTTAAACCGCTGTTTCAGAGTACTTTGTCGCACAGCAATAGGTAACTCAAATGTACTTTAATGTTGAGTGAATGAGTATCTATACTTGGGAAAAGAGCATTTCCTGCCTTTCAAGCTAAATGAGGTATATCTTATATTACTTTGTAATTATTTCTGATTCATTTCTATGTGTCTATTTTTTGGGGGAGAGGATAATCCCATTTTCCCTTTTAGATTATTTCTAGAAGCACAGACTGTATTCTATTTTTGCAACTTTTTAAAAAAAATTTTATTATGTATGTTCCTTTTCAAGAGTGAGTGAGTGACTGACTTTCATTTAGCTATGGGTAGGGGATCCCAAATTAAGACAGCCATAGGGGTGGCGCTGTGGCGTAGCAGGTAAAGCCGTCACCTGCAGTGCCAGCATCCCATATGGGCGCTGGTTCGAGTCCTGGCTGCTCCACTTT